TCGACCTATGGGAGAGGTACGAAGTCACTCGACCTATGGGAGAGGTACGAAGTTGCTCGAAAGAGAAAATGGTCAGCCTTGTCGTCTCTACACCTAATCATATGTCAATGAAAGTCGTTCTGGGTAGCGCCTCCGTACTGGCTGATTTGAGATACAAACCAGTATTGAACCAACTATCTGATCTTTTATGATTAACCACACCCATCGGGATAAGGGATGAAAGGGATGATAAGTAGATCGCTATACATCGCTCTTTAGTTTAGCCAACAGCAGTAGCTGAACGAACTTTGTTTAGAAGTCCAACTAACCGCGGCCATAGACGAATTTCTATTCAAAAATTTTGTTAGAAAACGAGATTCGATCATGTAGCAACCGAAAACGTCTGGAAGAGACAAAGCCTTAGGATGATGCTGGAACTGGATTTCCTACACTTCGATTCAGATGCATTTCGGGTATGAAGATGGAATTCACTTAGGCTTCGGAGGAACGAAGTGAAAGGTACGAAGTCACTCTGAAGATTCGTTTCACTATTCGTTGTTCGTTGTTGAACATAGTTCAACGTTTGAAACGAAATGAGTGTAACATAGTGAAACGAATCTCTGTTCTCTGTTCTCTGTCAACGAATAGTGAAACTCATTTCGTACCTATTCTTTTTTGCTGACTTCACTCACTTCAGAGACAGAAAAAAAGAATAAGAAAGGAGCGTAGCAGCCAGAAATCAATCACCTCTTCCGCTTAAGGCACCGAAGTCCCACAGCTAAACAGCTAATATAAATAAGGGAAGTTATTTATAGAGCAGTAAGAGCCTATTCTGTCTTGCTTTCTGATTCAATTCCGCTGCTACTCCAAAAAGGCTGCAACTCGCCTGCATGAAGCCGGAATCGCCGGTCAGCCATACGGCTGTGAATTCGTTCCAGGATCTCCCAACTATTCTGGAAAGCCCTAGGTTTGAATTCCTTCCGGAGATAAGCAACCATCTTCCCTTTAAGATAGGGATTTCCCCTCCCTAACCAATATTCTATATTCTACTATATTCTAAAGGTAGTTGCTGTGAACCGTGGGGTTTGCCAGCAGCCGCTTCCCATCGCTTTGTTTGGATTGACATCAAGCGAGACCGAACGCGATAGCCTGCACCTGCTAAGGGTTGTAAAACATACATCTCCATATTGACAAGCCAGCTGGCACAAACCAATGGTCTACCTACAACCTGTTAAAGCACGAAGATATATTGGGGACAAATCCTTTTGCATGTCCTTAGTCCAGTACCTCTTCGCGAACTCGAGAGTACCATTCTCTGAAATAATGGATTTAGACAGAGAAATAGTAACTCCGAGTCTTTCCAGTAACAGGCTATACTCTCTGGCTACCAACTCATCGGCGATAAGAATATCATCGCCAAGGAGAGCCGTAGTAAGCCAAAGGCTGTCCAGTCAAGAAAGCCACTTCACTTATCCCTCAAAAGGTTTTGTTAAAAGGAAAGTGTTAAGACCAAGAGTACTGTTGACGATTGATGATGCCAAAGTACTTCCCCAACATGAGGGAGTATATGACACTCAATGGCCAACAGTCCGTAGCAGACTTCAAGTCAAAGGAATAAAGTTTCCTCAATTTCTTGACCCGAAGCCTATGTAAATGTAACGCTTTCTCTTGGTTGAAGGTACCGTCGGTTTCCTCTTGGACTCCGGCGTAATCCCGAGCCTGTAGGGTGTCTTTTTAAACCGGATGGTAAGATTGTTCCAATCCACCCGGAAGTGACTTACCGATTTTAGATTTGATACGAGATGGATCGGCGTAAAACCAGTCTGTATCGGCCCAAGCTTTAGCGGGACCCTTGAACTTGACTACAGGCTCGGCCTCCTGGTACCAATAGGCTTTCGGTGCTAAAAATAGACCTTTCTTCAAGCTTAAACTTACCTAAGACAGAAGGAGAAAGCAGCTCGTCAGGGAGTGGATGAACAGAGTCGGTGTCGGTATAGTAACACTTATTATTCTTATTATTACGGTCCATATGCATCCTAGCGTAGGCAGCAGCCGCTGCCGCCATCTGGACCGCAGCGTTCCTCAGGGGGCGCCATTTTTCTATGGTCGGGCCAGTGTAGCTACGGTAGGTAGCGAGGTTGGTGTTTTCTTTAAGCTCTACACCGTGCAGGAACTCCTCATGGGAGTGAATCAATTCTTTCCAGCGTGAGTCGTGCTTTCTGGGCTAATACCGAATCTGCCGTAGAGGGAACACATAGGCTATCGCCTCATTACCTTCTTCGCGCGCCCTCAGCCTACTCTCAGAGAGAGAGCTAACAAAGTCTTTAAACCCTCCTCGCTAAAGTAGACCTCCCGGTAGGGAAGACCCAGAGGTCCACCCAAGGTTATTGATAGTCTTGGGGATAAAGCCAAAGATCCTCGCCAGACAGGCTTCCCGGCGGGCATGGGGCGCTCCGCCATTACAAAGGGATAGAGTGAGTAGTAGTATAGGTCCTTACCTATTGGTATGTAGGCATCCACATGACCACCGCCTTATAAACCTCTCTTCATTCGTGTTGGGGCTTTAGCGGGATCGTGGAACTTCATACGAAAGAGGTACATTGCCAATGAGGAAATGGTCATTTTCTTTACTATGTCAACCTCCCAAAACCCTTTCCGCCAAGGAGAAGGACGTCCTTCTTCAGATAGTCCTCTCTCATACTGCTAAGATTCTCGAGAGTCACTCTCTCATGATCAATAGACCCAGTTCGGGGCATAGACTAAACCCAGGAGTCTCTGAAGCGGAATAAGAGCCTCCCCCGCTCGGAATAGAGGCTTAGCTCGTAAAGCCTATTCCCTCTCGACAGCGTCAATCAAACCAAAAAGACTACTCCCTACCAGGGTCAAATGTCCTTACATACGATATTACTTCTTACGTACTTTATTTTTATTTACTGACTTTATTACTTATGCAATTATGCAATTCTTGTTGGTCAACTGTCTCTTGATTTTCAATTCGCTGACCGCTGCCCCTTATCGCTGATGTGTGGTCTATTGCCTAAGAATGCCTAACCCAGCTTATCGAGGGAAGCTAGTAAGTCCCATACCATAGGTCTCATCATATAAAAAAAGGATTTGCCCAGTAGTGCTCAACAAGTAAATAAGAAGGTAGTCGAGGATCTTACGCTTCATGATGGAGCTCTGCTCTAGAGTAAGGGGGAAAGACTAAAGTACAGTTTAGCAATCAAAAGAACATTGGAACTAGCTGCCATTTCGCTAGATACCAGAAAGAAAGTTCTATCCAGTTGTTG